CCCGGTTTAGTGCGGTTGTGTTCTGAGTCGTTGACGTCACTTATCTAACGAGTTCTTCTTTGACGTATAGCTGTCGTCTCGGGCAACCGGCTTCACGTCGACGACGACAGTGACCGCGACGAGCATCGTTTTCCACCTCACTGTCCTCTTCAACGCTCTCACTCCGGTTGGATAACGATTTTTGGGTTGTCGGGCACTCCTGTGTTCGTTATAGGCTCTATCACTCTTCATTTAGTCTTCTTCATCCTTTGCTATCATTTTTCGTCATCTCAGCTTTTCCCATTTATCGACATTTTTTACTTAAAGTTTGAATCGCTCACTCTCATTTTGAGTAAAGCAAAAAGAAATTGTGGTCCATTTACCACCATTTTTTTCGCTGGTTATAATAAGAATACATCAATTCCAAGCGGAGCCGTAGGTTTGAAGTTTTTCTGAAGAAGTACTCGACGATTTTCTTTAAACTTCAATGAATCAGAAATTAATAAAATTGTAAATTACGATAGGACCACAGTAGACATCAGTACCGTCATCAAAATTATATTTAAAAAACCACAACCTAGCTCTAATTACTTTCTTCGCAAAGCAACTGACGTAAAATCCGTAAATGAATCATATTGGCGCTTGTATTTTGAAATTGTCCCTGTCGTTACTGTAGAAATAGCGTTTCAAAAGGTCCTAAATACTGTTGCAATACTACCTTACTGTGGTTACACATGACCTTACAGTAATGGAACCCACGTGTTTCTATTCAGTGTATTTCGGATGTGCGCAATGATGTATGTCCGGAAGAAAAACAAATTGTTATCACCGGACATTATCATTATGTCGACCATCAGCATCGTGTATAAAAGGGCATCACTGAGTGAGAATGCCTCATTCGAGGAGATGGCTCACTGAAGAAGACCTGACTCGACACGAAGGCGAAGCTGCCACGTCGAGACGAAAAACGAGCGAGGACCATCGACTCGGATCGTCGGCTCTGAGGAAGACGAAGACGTCGAAACGTTAGCCGAAAATAAACATCATTATCAACCTCGTATAAGCTCATCAGAGAAAGAATACATATCTATTCAGTGTTTTTCTTCGTAGTTTTGTTACTGTTTGTTAAACGCGAGGTGTTACTATTCTTTGTTCAGGCGAAGTATTAGTACTAGTATAATACACATTATACTTCCACGTGATTTCTGTGCGGTTGGTCTCTACGTGACATACTTAGTGGAAACCTCATAGAAAGCGGCTCTGAAGAAGGCGAAATTCGCCGAAACGTCAGCTTAATCGTGAACAAAGAATAGTAACACCTCGCGTTTGCTCAACAAAAATACGAAGAAAATCACTTGATCAATGCCGAGGTTAATAGAAAGTCGGTCGTGGCAGTTTCTATTCAGTGTGTTTTCAGTTTCACTTGAGTTTAATCGAAAACTATTATGCATTTAACATCTCCGAAATCCAGTCCTGTGGCGGTCTGATCGCTGTCAATCGTACAACTCGTGGATAACTTGACAATACGCGGTCTTCATACTTATCGATTTTTTCGATGGAAGCAATAAAAAATAGTGGCTTAATACATAATACTTATTTCCTGTCATTGTAGTGATATTTGTACCGCTTTACTTCTGCAAAAATTCAAGGCTATCCAATAGCTTATCGATTTCCTTGAAACCACTGCTGATAAACTGTAAAAAAAAGTTATTAATACACCTGATACTTGAATGGCCCGTCGTCAATAGTTGTGCGATCCCAGCGTAACCTTCACTTTTCGGAGATTTGCTGGTTAAGCCATTGTGGTTACGTGGAATCCCGAGGTCGATGTGGCCAAAGTCTGCTTCAGGTCTTCACCACCACTGGCAGTCGCAGCACTTATGGATCAGAGAAAGATTTGCCACCATGCGACTTTGATACCAGGACGGTGGTGGATCCTGGTATTGGTTTACTCTTAGCTAGGCTTCCTGATGGAAACGCCGGACTTCTTTTCAATTTGGGAAAACCTACCAGGGCATGAGTCCCTCGCTGTACATCGCAGCCCGACACCCAGGAACACCTCCCAGCCGTGATGAGGCGGTAAACCGTTGGGAGGAGTAATATAAGAAGACAAAAAACAGAAGGTCATGGTGTAAATACGCTGTGGAAAGTGAAACACTACTTTTCGGCTAAAGATACACAGCAAGACTTTTTTGAAGTTTATGACTTTCCTATGACCAATGGGCGCGTGTGACGCAGTGGTCGGAGGCTCCCTGCAACAAACACGTGGAATCGATGCCTGCGCCCCTGGCTCACTAAGCCTTCCATCCCCCCGGGTCGGCAAAGTGGTACCAGACCTGTCTGGGAGGATTTCAACCCTGGCTCAATATATCGTTAGGCCACCGTGAGTCATTCTAAAGGTCAGGTATGCATTCGGTCACCTTCAGACAATGCTTAATGAAATCCAAATGCACGGCACGGGATTGGTCAACGCCGAAAGCTTTGTCCTTTTATCCTTTTTAAGACCTTCCTAGACTGCTTATTCACAAAGAAATGCACCTGAGAAACTTATGTAAGGATTTAGGCTCTCGAATCCACAGCTGTCTGTCGTAGCACCATCGTCGGTACTCTGGTGAGAAAATGTAATCGCGAAGATTGTGGCCGCGAGAAAAAATTGTGGCGGAGTCCCAGATCTGGTTCTATACATGACGGGCAGGTAGCCGGCCATGCAGGCTAGTTGTTGCGTATCTGGGAACATTGCATTCGAATCGTGGAAACACAATGTCGGATATTCGGCTTCAATTTTTTCCTCCGGGTTATTTTTCCGTTTTCATTAGAACCATTCCTCACTTCGTCAATCCAGTATTGTGCTTTACTGATTATCGAAGACTATATGGTTAAAGGATATGCGTACTGAGCACAGATCTCGGATTTGTACACAACTTTCGAATAGGCTATATTCGTCAGTTCGTCAGTTGTTCATTTCTTCCGATACTGAAATATCTTATACTCACTGTCCCTTGACGAACTGCAATTATGTGCAATGAAGGTTCGTTTTCCTAATCAGAAACACTGACTCGCGCTATCTGAACATCTGTGGACGCTCTGTCATACAGCTTGTCAAAGTATAATCACCCAAGACCAAGAATCAGCACTGTCTTGGCGAAGACATGTTCGTGCTGTCGTGCCGATAACTTAAGAATGCGCAGTTAGAGCAGCCTCAGAAGTCCAGGAAAAAATCTTTGCCCAACTACAAAATAAGACCAGTAAAATGGAAGGCTTTGGGCCATACGCTTTCTAGTCAACCCGCCGTGATGGGAAATTGGTGCCAGACATTTTTTTCGAAAAGCTCACTTTCTGCAATCCATGAGGGAACCCACCGGCACAGATCTCTCAGAATTCAAGAAAGCATTGACTCGCCCAGCATTCTACGATATTCGTGACAACAGCGAAAAAATCCGCAAAGAGCAACAGCACTGGAAAAGTTCAAAAGGCTTCGTGGATGGTGGATGTGAGGAAACAAATCGAAAGCTAGGATTGTTGGGGTCTCCATAGTGTACCACATTTAATGTATACATGTGATGTCGGGTTATATAGCAATGAAAGAAGACTTCTAAGTATTCATTCAGCTTAGCTGTTTCAAATGACCTCCATATTTTTTTGCTTCTAAATAAAACGCCCCCAATATATCCATAATACGTTTTACCATCATGAGTTTGTTTCTTTTAATAACCCTAAAGAATAAATTTTACCACTGCCCATATGTGAGGAATCATTTTTAAAATTTTGTTGTTATTATGACTTTATGTAAACATGAAAATGAGTACACGAGTAGAATCCCTTTCAGTAAGCTTAGTGAGAATGATTCAATAGACATCCCTCCAGCAAATCGTTCAAGCTTTCCCACTGTAACACTTATACTTATCTTAGGTAGTAATCGGTCTGCTATGGGTATTTGTATTGAACAGAACTTACTGTTCATACTTTCAGTGGCTGATCCAGAACTTACTGAACCCATCGTGGCCTCCATTTTCTTCTCATTCATTCGAAAAAGAAAATCAGTGTGCATTCTTTCATTTATAAACCTATAGAGAGTTCACAAGCAACTTTATTCGACTAAGGTTTCCACGTTTTCGCCCCCGCTGACCGATGATCGTAGAATTTATCTATTGCCTTTATTAATCGAAATAATTAGAAAGCAAACGACAGTGGGCCATCGACTTTGGTCATCGGCCCTGATGAGGACAAAGACGGCAAAACCTTAGTAAAATAAAGATGTTATCAACCTCCTGCGAGCTTATCAATGAAAGAATACATATTCATTAGTCATGCAAAGGCTAAAAGAAAGTCAGTTTTAGAAAATCAATACTTTTTTGCAGATTTTATTTCTTCGTATTCAATGCGGTTAGTAATTGTTTCTTTACTGGTGGTACACTGCTCAGCTGTTAATGATCTCTACATATTAATTGATGAAATTAGCCTTTACAACTGCAGAGGAGGTTAGTGAGTGTGTTGTCGTTGATTTCCTTTGTCCATGGATTTAATTACTTCTTGTTTAAGCTTTATTATAAACAAGCAAGCGACAAAATGTTTAAAGTTGATCACACCGTGAGGGATGCCCCATGCATCCATTTCAATTCGCTGCATCGTAGGCATGATTGAATGCATGTTCAGTTCGTATCTGTTAGATTCTACTACTCTATCAAATCACTGTTTTTATCTAGTCAAAAGAGTACGATACTAACTTTCCTGCCCAACACGAAGAATGGATGCTTGTTTAGTCCGGGATCAAGGATTGAACCAACGACCTTTTTGCATTTCATGTTACTTCAAGCCAGTGCTCTAAACCTAAGTCTAACATTAAGTGTAATAATTGTTCTGTGTTCATGCATACACTTAACCCTTTTGTCCTAAAGCATTTATTCTATCTTGGGTAGCACTTAATATTAATTTTTTCACAGTTATTATTCATATATAGAGTGAATGGCTTTCTGTGATGAAATATTCAACAACTCTCGATATTTTCAGTAAGAAACGAAATCATGATTAACGAAGAGGACGTGAATATCGTGAACGAAAAAGGAAATAAGGTAACCGGCAGGTTGACCTCGCCTTTTTCCTCATGAGTTGTCACCCTCTTCATTGGAGTATCCTTAAAACGCCTAAATGGCCACCTTTGATCTTTAGGTGTACTATATTCATGCTCCTGGTAACTATTCACTTCATTTCAAGAGGATTAAAGTTGAACGAAATTTTGGATTTCTCGCTGGAGAGATCGGAGTTACCTTACAAGTGCCCATCATTGAAGGTCCTGCAGGTGAGAGATTAGCCGAAATTGCGGCTTTTTGAGAAAGATTAAGTGGAATCGTAGAGTTTGTTTCGATCTAGGTTTATTCTAATTATTGATGAATAATAAAAATTAGCACGGAATTAGTGCAGGTAAACGCAAAGAGTGGTTTTATCACAGTATAAGGGATCCTACTCATTCTCGAACGAAATATACAATTTTTTTGGGATTCCTAGAAACTCGTGTATTCTGCTTGTCGTCTTTCTAAAAGATTTTTGAAGTAAGCCGTCTATTTAAAGAGTTATGAGGCAGCAAATACATGGGTTTGACCTAAAGGAAGCAGAGCTTGAAGAAATGATTCTTTGTCTTTCTCCAAGTTTTCGTTTATATCGGCTTTTTCTTCGCTGAATTTGCACCCAACCCGGAAAACAAAGCGCATCCACTCATCTGCTATCAGTATTGCATGCAATTCCATTTGGCACCGATTAATTCGACAGGGAACAGCTAAAGAAACACTATCAAGAAGCATCACAGGTTTGAACTAGTTCCTTTTTGGGAAAATATGAATCTGTATACGTTCCATCCGAGAGTTTGGTGAAGTGCTACGCATATAAACTAGTATAATAGCTTGACAAGCTCTCTAATAGTGAATCCAAAGCATATTTGTTGGAATCGACCTTGGATCACATTTTCTGGAGATCTCTCAAATGTTTGTTGCAAAACTGTCGTATAAGACTTGTGGGGATAGGTCATAAGAAACTTCTTTAATTCATGAAGAAGTTCTTAAGGAATTCGCTTTGATTTACCGTATACGATGATACCCGAGACTGGTCTACTGTCACAACAATGCGACGAACACAGTGGCATTGTAGAACGAAATGGAAGACAGTACTGGTAAGCACACTATGACTTCCATACTCTTCCGTTACTTTTGTTTGTATCACTATACCGTCGTCAACGTTCTGCATAAAAGCCGTCATTCGTTTTTGGCCAGACTGAGTTTTGAATCTCTAACGTCTTCATTATTCTCCTTACACTTTTTTTCCCTTTTTTATCAATACTAAGGAAAGCATAACAACGTAGTAATAAACGCCATACATCGGTTCGACTCCTCAGGCAAACCAAACCTCCTATGTAGAGCCAGCCTCCAGTATTAGATTAAGCGTTGTTCCAAGCGACATACACGTAAATTTTAGACATTATGTCTCGAACAATAAAAAAAACTTTTTAAAAAATTTTAATGCATCAAGATAGGAGGTACTGAGCACTGCCTATTTGTCCAATTACTGTCACTTCCACTACTGTATACTTGCTTGATGTTCGTAATGGTCGGCTTTACAACTGCCAACAAAATAACTAGTTAATTATTGCTGACCTAAAGTAGAACTCGAACTCTGGATAGGCTCTCTACTTCAACAACACTAAAAATGTACCGTACTCTGTCGAAAAATTTTAACCAGATATTGAACCCTCTCTCATATGTCTAGTAGATCCTTTTCCCTAGAATTTGCACAGTGTACGGTAAACCTTTGAAGCCGAAGCGGAAAAATGACCGTTGTCTTTGTGTTGTTTTCGATCTTTCTTTCTTCGTGCTATAAGAGCGTGGTATCGAACAGTAACCGGCTTGCCCGCAATCGTTCCCATACCGTCGCCAACTACGTTATCCACTCAGTCAATGTTGGTTTGGGACATATGGGCGGATAGTGGAAGAATGTAGTGAGCACGTGATCTATGACAATGCCTGATGACATTTGTGAACCTGTACATCTCCCACTGAGGTACACTTCCTGTCTATGCTTCTGCTTGGAAGGCTGAAAATAAACTGCTTTTTTTGTTATTTTCTAGTTCTTTTCCAAAGTCTAAAGATCGCCACATCATCAGTAATTGCGGCCAGCCTAGTTTTAGTGGAAAACTTGGAATGTTTCATAACTCGGTTTGATTATAAATTAACCAAATAAACTAGGACGTATAAGATTTCAATGATTCAGGCGTTTATTTATTTCTCTAGCATAGAATTCTAACGCCTTAGAGGTGACGAATTTTCGAATGCCATTTCTCCGGCTATAGACGATTCTCTCACCAGTCACATTTCAGTTTTTCTTCACTTTCAATTCACATACAGGACCCCAGATTTGTTGTTCTACTTAAGCCAAATTGTTCTTTAAGCTTTCAAATCGATATCTTTAAATCAGCTTCAGCTGATGCCTCTTCGTTGACGATTATCATTGCAATACAACCACAACGTTGCTTAGATATCTGCCAAACTCTCTGGACCGCAGGTGTCTATGGTGGGGAACGAACGCGCTATTGTCCTTTCCGGGGAATAACGCGTTCACCACCACACCATGCGGGTCCTTCGTTTCGCCTGTCTCTCAACTATTTCTATCGATCTTTGCCACAGCAATCACCCGCGTTACTCCCCGGAAAGGACAATAGCGCGTTCGTTCCCCACCATAGACACCTGTGGTCCAGAGTTTTGCAAATATCTCAGCAACGTTGTGGTTGTATTTCGCTTAGTACCCTGCCGCGAAATTATAGTAGGCAGAAAATAAAAAGGTATAACATTATCATTGC